CTGTGTAGTTTCATCTCAGCAAACTGTAAACATGTGACATTATGTTCTGACTGGATGAGATGAAACAATGAGCTTTCTGACCCACATGCAAAAAACTACATACAGTATGTTGAAAAGTAGCAGATAAGATCAGCTGAACACAAAATTCTCTCTGGGAAACATGGAGCTGGATACACAAATATTCTTATTTGTAAAACATTACAAAATATACATCCCTCCCCTTCACTACTTTGTTTCAATCTGTTATAAAATCACAATAAAAGAAACAAAGTTCTTTTGTAAGACGCTGTAAATAAAAGAAGGAGGATATGACCGTGTGTTTGTCTGGTGACAGCGTGTCCAGTCGGGCGCTACGGCGTCGACTGCAGCCGTGTGGCTGTGTGTGGAGACGGAGCTCAGAGTGACCCCGTCACAGGTCGATGTGCGTGCATCCCTGGACGCAGAGGGGAGGACTGCGGACAAAGTGAGATGATGATACATTTCTGTCTCATTATATCTGCCTGAAGGGTTTTCCCTTGTTGCATTTGTCTTCTGCTTTTTTCATCATCTTTCTCTCCACCTCTGTGGATCCTTCCTTCAGTATAATTTGAGTGTGTGTGTTTGGCCTCAGGCTGTCCTCCCGGCTGGTTTGGGGAATATTGTACTCAACGGTGTAACTGCAGTAATGGAGGGTTGTGCAACTCTGTGACGGGCAACTGCACCTGCGGACTGGGCTGGACTGGGGAACGCTGCAACATCGGTAGCAGATTATTATGACCGCTTCTGTTCAATAATAGATAAGAAATGCATGCGCAGAGTACTGAGTCTTAATGCTGCACAGTGTGAAGTCGTGGGGTTGATATTTTGTCCCAATCGTCTTGTGCCAGAGTGTCCCGTGGGCCGATTCGGTGCAAACTGTCAGCTGAAATGTAGCTGTCAAAATAACGGCTCTTGTGACAAAGTGACGGGAACGTGTCGGTGCGGATCGGGCTACTATGGACATCTGTGTGAACACGGTGAGGACCGAGGAGACAGGCATACATAAAGGCGGGTGAAAATGTCCTGAGGGATAAATCTGATGGGGCTTTTTTTGTAGCTGCAAATCCCTTTCAGAACAACGAATTAAATCTCCTGTTTCTTTCCATAAAGGCCTCCACTGTGTAGACTACAGTGAGTCACGTGTTTCCACACGCTGACGTGTGCTATGATTAAAATAAACATGGACTCTTCGACTGCAACATCCTGCTGCAGTAATAACTTTTCATGCATGTTTTATTCAACTTTATGTTCATTCGCTGAATCTAAGGGTCCAGGTTCTAAACATGTCAGTAAATACTGACTGACCTAAAGTTCATCAGACTTTATTGTGTTTCAAAACAACTTGCACAGGTTCATACAAATTTGAAATATCAAACAAAGCAAGTGGATGTGCGCTCAGTCTGTGTTTTGTAGCTGTTTGTCAATGAAGGACAAACTCCATCAAGCTGATATCTTTTGATTGTCCTCCCCTTCAGTCTGCCCTGCTGGTTTCCACGGTCCGCTGTGTCAGCTGCAGTGTGACTGCATGAACGGCGCCACCTGTCACCCCGTGTCGGGCCACTGCATCTGTCCTCCAGGACATCATGGAGCCCGCTGCCACAGAGGTCAGTCAAAGCTGTTTATTCACATCAAATAGTTGGAATAACTGTCGTCTTTGAATCACATCCTTAACTCCGTTCTCAGTGTGTGAGCTGGGGAGGTTCGGTCAAGGCTGTGTCGGGGTGTGCGACTGCGAAGGCGATTCCCCGTGTGATCCTGTGACTGGAAGATGCATCTGTCCCTCTGGGAAGACGGGCGCCAGATGTGATATTGGTAATCTTTAATTATTTATCTAACTCACATTACCTCAGAAGAACGGGAAATGAAAAACATGCACTTGCTTCCAAAACATCAAATGATCTTGCTTTGGGCTCAGAGAATCTCATGAAAGATGCGGTTTTAATTGGATTATGCAAGAAACTAGGAGACTTGAGTTCATTTCAAAAACAGGTGAAAACATTGAGCTTAACAGCTGAGGCTTCCAGATTTCAACCTACTTTTAACCAACAGGATGAAATGAAACCTAAAATTTTGTCTATTTTATATTTATAAAACAGCATGACTAAATAATAATTAGCTACTTTTAAACAAACATGGAGATGTCTGAGGTCTAAACATGTGACATTTCTTTTTACTTGAAGTGGAAAAAACGGAGCCATCACATTTCACAAGAACTCAAGTTCAGAACTCACAGGACGTCTTCATAAGTCCCTCCAACTACAACATACTTTCTTTTTCTTGCACCAAGCAAAGAGAAAGATTTGCCCAGATGGTGAATCAAGAGAAAACAGCAGGGACAACATGAAGGTTAAAGTTCTGGGAGAGAGTTTGTACTTGTGAACTATATTGACCTTTAATATTCTCCTGCTATGGTTGTTGGACATCTGTGTGACATCATCACATCAGCAATGCATAGATGGCAGTCTGACAATTGTTGACAGGAAGCAATCCTGACATCTTGAGTTACTACGTTTGAAGGCTGTTGCAGAGACGCAAGGTATTTCTCTGTTCGCATAAAGTTAATTGTGGTAAATAAAAGTAAAGGTGACTAATCTTTAGTTTTAAAGATTGTTCTAAATTAAAGATGCTGTATGTATTTGATGCATACAGAATTTTTACTACTGAAAGTAAAATAGTTATTTTATTATACAATAAAATGACATAATGTGACTGGAAAATACATAACATCGCCCCTATAACTGAACAATAATGTTATTAAATTTGCTTAAGTATGTTTTTTTCCCCCAGGTCAGAAATCTAAGCTGCGTTTTTTAAAAGGAAAAATTAAATGTGACGGTAAATCTCTGTTACATCACTTTGTGTATGAAGGTTGATCCTAGAAATGTTTAAAATGTTTAGAGAAGGTCTGACTTGCATTGGACCTTTCACCTGATGAAGTACTGACCAGCCTGCTGTTAACCTTTGCATGCACCGACCTGGTTCCCGTGTGGGTTCTGTTTCAGACTGCAGAGGCGATCATTATGGGCCGGACTGTGCAGAGACCTGCGAGTGTAAAAACGGGGCGCAGTGCGACCGACGCAACGGCCGCTGTCTCTGTGCTCCCAGCTGGATCGGACTCTCCTGTCAGGAAGGTACAGCACTGACCAACACTCACACTCTAGGCAGACAGCAGGCGAGTCAGAACCAAAGGATGTATCCCTGCTGACTTGATGAAATCAGAGTAGATGAGCAGAGTTAGGTGCTGACAGTGTTCAGGTTCCATCTGCGTGGGGCAGAAGTGCAGACACTGCACCTAAAATTGCTGTGGTTTCTTTTGTTTTGATCAGAAGCGAGTGCTGGACTCACAGCTTTTTTTTGTGCCCTTCTCCACACACTCAGATGGACCCCCACTCTACAGCGATGGAAGCAGCAGAGCGGACTCACAGCACAACTCATTATAACAGCTCCATGGAGCTGGAAAACTGAAACTGGGACAGACGGACGATGAAATAAAAAAGTCTGACAAGACGCAGAAGCAGCAGCAGCCATAGAGACTCTCTGAAGAGAAGTGCAGCTGAAAACAAGGTTGCATCCTGGATCTGTGGAATAACGGTGACAATATTTCCATTAGCAGAGTGCAGAGTCAGGACTTTGTTGCCTTCAGGGGACTTCCAGTGATTCTTTTAACATAAGTTTTCACAGGTACTGTACATCAACCTTCCCAGAAGTCAGTGTTGTTGCCCTTGTCAGTGAACGTGTTGTTAGTGAAACAGCAGTATTTATACACCCCAGACTTATTCCACATTCTGTCACTTTAGAACCACAAGCTAGAGATGCATGCAGTAGATCCATACAATGTTCATTTGGATTCAGCCTGAGTTAATACTCCAACTGTGTTAAAGTATTAATGTCCAGCTGTAATTGAAACATGTCAGCTTTGCACATAGAGGCAAAGACCCTGATGGATTGGAGGGAGAACATCTGTGAAGATCAGTTTTCAAGTACTGACAGTTTCTAAATAGATTTTAGATCTGGAGTTTGACTAGGCCATTCCAACACATTAATATGCTTTGATCAACACTGGTCTTGTTTGAAGGTGAACCTGCATGCACAATATCATGGGTCACATTATAAATCATCCAGTGTTACCATGGGCCTATTGGCAGCTCCTGATGCTCTCCTTGCTGTCAGTTTAGCTTTGGTCAATCCTTATCAGATTTGAAACTCTTGGTTTTTTTACAATGAAATATCTCCTTACAACTAATTAACTCAGCATAATGAAAACGTAAATGTAGCATTGGCATTTACAGATGCTGAATTTAAAATAACATTTTTCATCTAACGGAGGAAATTTAACAAATTCAAATGTTGGTAATTAACCAGCAAATTAGGAAAAAATATATGTATGACTGGGAATAACTCAGACCACTTGTTGGCAGCGATATGCTTCAAATACCATTTCTTGTTTATGTGGAAAATGCACCAACCAGCATCAGTGGGATTTCCACATCTGGGCTCCATTAACAGTAAGTCTACCAAAGACCAATCCTCTCCAGAAATACTGCTGACCTGTCTGCTGTGTTCCTCCTTCTCTCATGACACTCTGATAAATAGCTATATTTATTAGATGCTGTCCAGAAGTTGACTCAAATTATTAGATTACTTCTAAAAGCAACTTGCTGCAGTGAAATTTATGTAGTTGCAGTATATTGAAACTTGTGGATGTAATCTGACAAAATGTGGAAATGTTAAATATGAATACTTTGCAAAGCCCTGTACGTACCTCAGTCAAATAATGTGATACTCCAGTTCACTAAATGTTGGACATCTGAGTTCTTTAAATTCAAGTGACATTAAATGAAGCAGCATTCTTGTGCAAATTTGACAAACGTTGCTCTTTGTTATTTTAATAGAGTTTGTGTATAAATGGTTTCGTATTTATATTTTATATGGTTTTTTTTTTACAGCTGAACAAGGTGAGAAATAAAGACGCACACTCAGGCTTGGCTTACCATTCGTATCTTTTATCATTACTTCATTTAAAGATCAAAGCTGTACATCCTGTCTAAGTTTCAGATTCAAGCACAGTGCAGCTAGCAACGCCTGCGAAAAAGAAAAAAACTCTAAATAAAAAGAGAAAAAGGCAGAGGTGATCACAACCAGAAGTATGTACACAAAGATCAGAGTATGTACAGAAGGTACCAGGCTCCCAGCGCGTCGTCTTCAGAGCAAATTCAGTACAATGCTGCATTAGAGCATTCCTCAAAATGCCCACGCAACACAAATTCTTTGTTTTGGTCAGTTTTTTTTTCTTTTTAACTCCATACAATACTGACAGCGTAATGCAGCATGATGGAAAATAAAAAATTACAGCTCTTATAACTTTCTCTATGGCATTAAAGGCTAAAACATAAAAATATATTCTCTGTTTGACTTAAGCTCCGCCCATTCATGGATCTTTTACAAACTGTCAGAACAGGAAACATGATCAAACTAGGAACACTTAAAGCATTAATTTTCCCTGCACAGATGAGGGTACCACACACACTTATCCACGCACCCATACACACACACACACACACACAGGCTTCAAACATGAAGTTATTCCGACAATGTCCATTTAGGAGTAACAGCAATGGGCCATTAAGATGCACAGCTTTGCAGTTCAAAGGAAAACAAACAATTACTGAAACATGTTTACTTTAGTTCTTGGCAAAAGAAGATGGACACCACTCTGACCTCTCTGGAGTTGATGCTAAACTGAGGATAATACTGGATTAGATTAACTAGAAAAGCACCAATTAATGCATCAATGTGGTTCCCTCCAAAAATAAGATCAGAAAATTAATCTGAAATTTGGGTTTTCACTCTAACTCAATGCACAAAAAAAAAAAAAAAAAAGCTGTGTCACAAAGAATCAAGGAGTCCGGAGGCAGAATAATATTTTCTTCTTACTGACTCTGTTCATAAAAGTGCAAACCAGACCAGTGACCTCTAGGAGTTTGCTTGCTGCAGGAAAATGTACAAACTCGACACTCACATTATTTATTTATTAATAGAGGTTAGTGGGCTCAAATGAAGTAAACCATCAGAACTGCAAGAATTATATCTGTATAAGCCCTTTAGTTTCTACTGGTTTGTTCTGAGAACTGTAAACGTCGCGGGCCGTCCTTACAGCCCTCAGCCTCACATTGAGCTGTGAGTTTCCCGTTTTATAGTTTGGTTTTGATCAGATTCGGTGCTAAATGGCTCAGAATCAATTTGTCCCTCTGCACATTTGTACAGTAAAACTTTATTAAGTATTGCCTATAATCAAATTTAATTTTACTATGTGTGAACTTTGGATTCTGATCTCTGTTTGGGAAACTTGACGACTTCTGTTCAAACAGCTGGTAATATTTTATTTCTCTATCTCAGCAGGAAGCTACATTCAGAACACACTCACCTCCTTTAACTCTGTTCTGAGAATAAACGTAGAAAATATTGACACCCTTTGGACAAGATCTGAGGTTCTGCAGATTGACTGAGAGTAGAAACCTCTAAAAAGGATAATATTCCTACATTTTATTACACAACCCGGCCTTGTATAATATTACATTTATCTTGAACAATAGCCTCAGACTTCAGGTAGTGTTTTCAGTGCTCTTTTATTCTGTGGATGAAACAGACTGATGCATTAATTAAGGAGCTTTAATTATCTCTCTCTTCTGTAAGAGAGATAAACCAGCTGTTCTCTCCTGGGATCCAGTCTTTATGTTGGGCTAAGCTGACGGTCAAGTTTAGCAGAAAATATTAAAGTGGTGTCAGTCTCACTTTTCAACAAGAAAGAAAATAAATGTTTTTTTTTGTTCTTTAATTTCCTGAAATGTCACATTGTCCCTTTTAAAGTCTCAGACTTTTTCTTCCCTCCCTGCAGATGAAAACATCAAGACACAGAAACTCCACAAACAAATCTACTTAATCCTTTTTTTTTTTCCAGAGAAAACAGCGTGGGCTTTCGCCTGTTTTATTTACTCAGACAGAAGATACGACAAATTGGACTAAAACGTGGATCAATTATTACAGCAGGCTAAAGAGCAGGGTTGGATTATTTGTCCCCTGCTGCTACACACACACACACACACGCACACACACACACACCTTACATCAGTTTATTAGACACTCAAAGAAAAGAAAGTTGCATCTCATCCACTCTGATTATCCCCTCAACTGTAGCTGAGAGGCTCTAACATCTCTATGATTATCGCTAATGTGAACTTTTTATTTTTTTTATCTGCACTGTTTGTTGTTTTATTCTTTTGCTGTTTTCTGCTAACAGTTTATGAGCTGCAAAGATTTATGTACACAATTTTTCTAAGCTGAGAAGCGTCATCTTGTTCCTCCCGTTGGCAGAAGTGTCACATGCGATCTGCTTGTGCTTCAGTCGCGGTAAGAGAGCACCCAAAGGACAAACAGCGATGACATCTGCACTGAGTCTGTGTGATCGGGTTGTCTGCTGCTTTAACCGAACCTCACCGACCCAAAAGCACCGAGCCGCACTACTTAACGCATTCTGCATATGAAGGGCGTATTGATAACCACTTTAAGAGTTTGGTCAGGTAAAGATTAATATGAAGTAAAGTCCATCCCATAAATAGGTATACCAAGCCGGACAGCACATGCTTAAAGATGACTCAAAAACCTTGCAGGAAGTGAAAGTGTGTCAGCTAAAAAGAGATGAAGAAGATCTTTGGCTCGAGCCATGCTAAAAAAAAAAAACAAAAAAAAACAATGAAATAAACACTAAAGACTATTTGTTACAACCTCCCAAACGCACACCAACGCACACATGAAACCACCTTCTTCGTTCCCTGAGCTGCCGCCGCCCACTGATTAACTGGACACGTGCCTCCTTCCTCCCACTCCCACCAGTCGAGCCTTAGCTGGGGACACAGTGGGTGGGGGTGGCGGTTGGGCAGCCAGCCGAAGTGGAGGGCCGCCTACCTACGCTGAAGCCCGAAGCACAGTACGACGCAACTGGAAATAAGGCAAATACTTGAACAGAACTTGACCAAAGACAGGTTTTGGTGCTCGCTCCCTGTGTTGGCTCTAAGACAGGGGCGGATCTGATGGGGGGTAAGCGGGGGGCGCAGGGACACAGTGATGCAGACGAGTGCAGCTCCTGTTGGAGAGCAGGAGCTTCGATGCGTCAGGTTGAACGAGCGTACTGTCAGTGGGAAAACGTAGGAAGAGGACAGGCGACATGAATCTATAGTGCAATGGTTGTGACATAGGACTGCTAACACCCATGCTCTCTCTTCTTTAAATCGACCCACTCCAACAGCGTTACTGACGGTACTAAAGTGCTGATTGTTGAAGCCCTGGAGGGGGCTGCTGACGTCGACAACACAAACGTTCCTACAGAGAAACTTTGACGGACTTTTACAGTACACACGTGTTTGTAAACAGAACGTCTCGGGAACAATGCATGGCTATGGTACATGTGCAACAGCAATTCCCGTATATTCGTACAGTATCAACTTTATATATATATTTTTTAGTTGCATTCAGTTTTAGAAAAAGATTTAAAAAAAAAAAAGAAAAGGAAAGAAAATCTGGCTGCCAAGCAAGCATGTGCTTATTTATTTTTTAAAAAAGATGTTTTTCCTTAATTTTCTCTATGATTTTAAAGTACGTTCCGCTGAATAGGATGTATAACTGATTTACTTATGAGCGCATATCCCTAACCTCTCTTACTGTTCTGTTTTTCTCTGTTAATCCCGTCCCGTCCCGTGAAGGTGACTCGATTTATTCCCACTTTTTCTTATCTCTGTAACTCTAAATGAGGTGCCCTGCGTGGCCTTGGTGAGGCCAGACTCATGCGCCAGGGTCTCACTCAGTAAAAGCTCAAGCAAACAGAGGATCAGGCAAAGGTGGGGCGCTGCGGCTGCAGGCCGGGTGCAGCCCTGCTGGGCGGGGCCGTCGGGCCCGTTAGGACCGGTAGTCCTTTTTACTGTACGGCTTGTTCCCCAGGATGCTGTCCACCTCGTGGGTGATGGACGACGACAACTTTGGAAGAACCTGTGAATACACACAAAACATGATGTTGAATTCATAGCCACTGTTAGAAAAACAGAAAAAAGCATCTTATTTTACCTGATCTGTTTATTTGTGCTGTAAAACATTTACAGAGTTTTATGTCAGATTTCTGATCTGTTCATACTGATTTGGCAGATTCGTCTTTAAACAGTAGGATATAGAAAGATATAAGGTCATTATGTAGGATATTGGAGGTTTTCCAGGCACATCCCACTGGAGAGAGACCAAATTGAGATTCAAAACATTTCTTTGTGCCATGAGTAGCCATTGGAAACAGCTGGCAGATGCAGAAATTTCTTATGATTATCAAACTGATTAAAGTCCAGGTCTGTCATAGACGGCAGAATGCGACAGTGTTCTTATCCGATTAATCGTTGGCATAATTGACAATTACTAAAATAATCACTGGTTGCAGCACTACTCAATATTCTGAACATAATACATTGGAAACGTAGAAATTAAGTGGAAAATGTATTTCTCTGGATTTCTTAAAGAAAAACTCATTTACATGTGAGACTGTGTTCTAATTCTGGGTTTGGGATAAAAAGGTCTGGCAAGAAGGAAACTACAAACGCCTCGGGAAATGTGAGAGTAACATTTTGAAGCCGAAATATCAAACGTACACAGTGGGAGCAGATTTAGCGTGCACAAGCGTTAACACAGTCAGGAGTGAAGGCAAAGCATCAAACTGGAGGAGACGGTTGGGGGTGTGGGGGAGATGCTCTTCACTGTGGGCCAAGAATAATGTGAAGTGAGGACCCAAAGCCCCACCAATATGCGAACCCCATTAAAAGAGCAACCCTTATCAGCAGAGAAAGAAGTGGCCGTGAGCTCGTCTCCAATCCCCTCGGCGAATGATACTGGGCTGACCTTATTAACGTGGTACAGTAAAGCAAGAGAGCGTGCAGCGGTGAGCTGCCCAGGAGGACAAGCTGCACTCGGGAGCGGAAGAACTGCCGCTTCGCGCTGGAAGGCACGAATATGAATCCGATTAGATGGCCTCCGTCCCGTTCTTTTGGAAAGGGAAAACTTTTAATGTGCTCTGCAGTAACAGTAAAGAAGGAACAACAAAGAAGAAGGTTCAGCGGCCTCACCTGGATCGCTCCTATGTTCTCCATCAGCTGGTCGGTGTTGGACGCCCCTAAAAGGACAGAGCTCACCCCCTCGTTCCGTAGGCACCACGCTGCAGGAGATCAGTAAACACTGATGACGTCCCCGGCAGCACACACACGCAGGGCCACATCCATGACTCACACACACAGACATATGCTGCACATGACACTATTTCACACAGTGAATCTATAATTGACCTACAGCAAAACCAGGTAAAACATTACATCACACACAGTTTTAAATAGATGTATCTTAACTTTCTTCATTTTGCCTGATTGTACATAAAAGAGCATCTCATACCTTGGTCCTTTGTCCTGCAGAGTCACTCAGAGCGACGTGTGTTTTGTAGCGAATGACAGAGGTCTCAATAACACTAAATAAATTACATAAACCCAGGAAAAGCGTGGTTCTGATTGAATAAATATTCAAGTTGTTTTAAACTGCCATCTTAAAACGACAGATATCACATCTGCACTTATTAACCTGCAGAAATTGCCTCCACCATCAGTTTCAGTATTGATCCAGCGCAGTACTCTGCCTGTTTCTCAGGACATGTTGATGTGAGAGCAAATCATTCAGAAAGCATTAGCAGATCTTTTGCTGATCACTGCGAGTTCATCACTCAGAGGCTTTGGCCAGAATTTGCTTTTAACGATTTGCACTGCAAATACTGTAAAATTACATCATAAGGGAAACAACTTTTCCTTCCCTCTCCTCTGTCTCCTGCTTGTCCTCGCCAAGGGGCCAAGCGAGTTTCATTACCTTAATAAAAGTGCTGCCAGCCTAATATTGAGCATGATAAGGTTGCAGCCTTGGCGACGGGCGAGCGAGGCCACGGTTCTGTCTAATTTCCAACAGCCCAAGTCACACTGACTCAGGCCACATATGTGGATTAGCTACTGCTACCAGGCTCCTCCAGGACCCAGATATGTTGCCATTAAAACAACGAACCACAACAATCCCATCACAGAAATGTTGAAAGAGCTCACACATCTTTAAGACTCTGCAGAGAACATTTAAATTTGGCAGATGTTTTTTCTTTATGTGGTGGTGCAATGTGGCATGAAGACGGTCGTATTTGCTAACCTAGAATTTATGGTGTGCGTCTTTAAATTAGTATTTATGACAGTTTGTGTGATTTGTGGGTCTTTAAAGCTATACCCAAAAACATTAACAGGACTCTAAGCATTACACAGGAGATTTATCTGGAGTTTAACTAGATCTCTTTTTTATATACTTGCTTTTTTCATCCGTGTCTAAGGTTGTGTGTCTCTGCTGCATAGAAACAGCAAAATGTATACTTTAGCAAAAAAAGCAAAAAATGCAAACCTATCTAAAAACAAGGTTGTGCAAAGCATTTTTTTTAAAGATTTCATGAGTGAAATCTGCTGAGGAGAAGCAGGAAACCTGACATTCTGCTATTACTCTGAACAAATCGACACAGAAATACCACACTCCTGCTTGGTGTGTTGTTATAATTGGTAGCTGTATTATGCAATACAACTGAATGCTTCTGCAATTCAGGAAGCTATAGTTGTAAGCAGATTACAGCACAAAGGGAGGCAAAATGTTGCTGTAAAAATAGTGGGATTACAATTCAACACAATTCCTCCGCCAAACTGAAAATACAACCCAGAAAATGGGAGCAGTTGAAGCTTTTTCCTCTGGATCTGTCATGAGTACACGATGCCTGGCGGCAGGGAAAAGACCAACAACTTAGCTTAACTTCATCCACTTGTCACATTCACTCTCTAAATCCTGAATTTAACACCTGCTTTGCCAACACAGCCTCAAGCTAAAGGCAGAATGATATCAATCACAGTTTTAATTCAACGCCGGAGTGAAAAGGACTCCACAGTACGCATAAATCTGCTGTGCTGCCTTCAGAAGTCCAGAAAGGAATTATGGGAATTGGCTGTCGACTAATGGGGCATGAAACTTGATTTATGACAGTATTTTACAGTGGGGGTGAAGAAACTGCAGCAATCTAATCTGAGATTGCAGACTGAGTCTTGGATTTATTCACCTCACAGCTAACATTTGACAGAGGGGTTTCTGGCTCTGCTGCCAGCAGTCACTAGATATCTGTCACCTGCGGATTAATTTCAGGGATCCTGTTTTGATTCAGAGACTTGAAGCTGTTAAATGCATGAGACAACCTCAGATTACTCCATGTGTTTGCATGCCATGTGTCGACATTCACAATGTCTCCGGTCTTATTAAAGGGATGAGTCAGAGACATGTTTACTGTGTGTTTGCGTCGCTCGCATTCAAGGTCCTACGCTGCGAGTCTTTCACACCGAGACAGACACACACGTGACAACACAACAGAGAACTCAGACAGCTGTGAGAGCGCCGCTGACCCCGGGCCCGTCCGAGGCAGAGGGACGGACAGACAGACAGAAAGAGAGAGAGCGGCAGAGTGTATCTGCGTACCGATTGCGAGTTGGGGCAGTGTGCAGCCCAGCCGCTCCGCGATTGCCTGCAGCTCTTTCAACTTCGCCTGCTGACGCCGGCCCTCCTCGCTCAAGATCTTGTCCTTCAACCACTGGTAGCCCTGTTGAAAACATAGCACACCTGCTCAAAAACACAGCCCTGCTCACATCTTCGTGTCAGCAGGGCCCGTTTTTAAACACGTGACTCTGTCTTCAGCTGTCAGAGCCTCAGCCGGGGAAACAAAGCTGCTCCTGCTCACATTCTGTTTGTCTTTTTTTTTTTTTTTTTTATCATCACAAAGTCATGGAAATCCAGTCTCGATTACTGTACTAACAGTATGAAACAGCTGCACTTAGCTGAGGTACAAAACGTCTCAACCAGGGAGGCTACTGGTCACACGTAGAGCCAGAGACACACAACATCTACAGGCAACACTGAGCCAAACAAGAAGCAGGAACTGCACAACACCGACACAAAGGGTCCGCTTCAGGAACCACTGTGCTACACAATCCACACACACAAAACATGCCACTTCACCACAGAGAAACACAACAGTGTGAAAGATCAGGGGTTAGTATAAACAGTTTTTCCTGAATGTTGATTTCACTGGTGGAAATAAATCCTGACTTCTCCCTTCATAAAAACTATTTAAAATAAACGTTAGAGAAAAACGCGTCTTCTGCTTTAAAAAATTAACTCATTCAGGTGTTGTTAGTGTCAGATTAATATGTCATATATATTGTGGGGGTTTAAATGTACTGGGCCGGAGTCGGCCTGCTGACAAACGGCGTCGTGGAGGTGCATGGCGTGAACACGGCACTGAAAACACACACAGGTACACAGTATGCAGAGCTACAGAACCTGAAAGAGACAGAGGCACAATGAAACAAACGAGCTGCAACCAGTGGGGGAGGGGCGACACAGAGCAGTGAGGGTGGGCACAGATGAACGGAGAGGTCGGTGGACAGCGGAGAGGTGTTACCTTCAGAGACGCCCGAGAGTACGGAGGCACCCTGCCGTCGTATTTCCCTGAGATGATCCCACAGGCCAGCGGAGACCATGTCATGGCGCCCACACCTAAAACAGAAGCAGATTACCGTCATCATCATCATCATCATCAGTTCTCATTTGTGTATGACCAAATTACATCAATTTGAAAAGACCTTAAAATTTGTACTTTAAGTACAAATCAAACACCGAAAAATTGCAAGTTTTTTAATGGGTAGTTTTACTAACACATTTCCACTACAACTGGAACTTTGAGAACTTTTATAATCTGAAATGAAAATAAATTTGACACCTTGACAGTAGCTGAACTTTAAACTTGTATCTCAGTGATGTGTGTTGGCATGAGACTCTCAAGGTACAGCTATTTTAAAAAAAAAATCTGATTAAATGTGTTTTTTGTTTTGTACTTTTTGTAGGATCGGGTGTTTTCTGTGTTTAATGGGGCGGTGGACAATGTTGCTTTGTTGTCTTCACACAGCTCATCCTGCTTTCGCCTCCATCCCCCATCCAAATGGTAACGCTGCAGTTGGCCATCGTCTTCCTCTCCACAGGTTGACAGCAGAATCGCTCCAGTGTTGGAAAGTCATTTGAATGTTTCTCTCCCATGTGACACTGTCTTGAATCATTTGAGACATAAAGGTTTGTGATTTGCTACCAGATTATTGAGAGAGGGAGGGGTAAATGTTTGTGCCACTACATACATATAGTGTAAATCCAGTAAAAGAAAATGAGAAATTTTGCACTTTCTATCCACTGTGCAATTTCTCCCTTTGCAGATATCTTTTATAAAACTGTCTTGGACTCTAAGGCTGCATCTTTATTATTTTGAACATGAAGACGAACAGCTTTTAGACTTTCACTGCATTCTGTCAGTCTGATGTATAAATGCATCACAATATTGGCTTTTGCTAAGAGAGAGAGGAGGGGGAAATAACTTCCCAGCATCATTTCATAACAACCACAGTACGATACAGTTTAAGATTTAAAAAACTGAAACCAGCTGTATTACTTTTTTACATTATTATTAAATTATAGGCTTCTACTACGAGCCTCAGATCTGCTCAGTGGAAGATAATGGAAACAATTGCATGTGTTCAATGTGAAGCAAATAATAAATCTATCGCACATGCAGCCAATTTAGCATCGCAATAAATCAATACTTCATCTAGAGCAAGAAATGCGTCAGTGCTCACCTATCTTATGGAAAAGCTCAGGCAGCTGCACCTCCACTTTCTCCCTCTGGAACATGTGGTACTCTGCCTGCTCGCATATAGGAGGAATCTGGTTAAACTGCCGCGCCACAGAGTACGCCTCCTAAAGGAAGATAACAAATAAATCAAATCATACTGAGGTAATAAAATGAGGAAAATAACATGGTGCATTACTCTCCTTCATGTTGATCTGTTTTTCTGTCTTCTCACCATTATTTCCATTGGGCTCCAGCGGGATGTCCCCCAGTACATGGCCATACCTTGGTTTATCACATGGGTCATCGCTCTTACAGTTTCTGCAGAAACACGAACAAAAACACCATGAGCTCTCCATGTTCTGCTCCACGATGCAACATAAACATCCTTGACTTTTAATCGTACAAAACAAAAAACAAACACAAAAAAACCTACGCTTGTTATCATTTGCAATCCAAATATCCCAGACAATTCAGGAGGGAGGTGGAGAAGGTGATTATGTTAATTAGAAGCCAGAGAATCCTGATGAGCGTGACATCTGTTCTTAACAAGGCAAGACTTGAATGACATTCACGTTAATATTTACAAGGATCTGCTTTAAAATTGAAGCTTGCAACATGAAACGGGAGCCAAGTGACACGAATAGGAGATGACAGCCATAGGTTCACCAGTTCAGATTTTTAATCGTGCACAAAGTGGGCTGACACACGGGATGGAAGCTTACGTATTTTAAGCACGGAGGGTTAAAAATACGCCAGGGATGATTATTTTTCCTCCCTTTAATATGCATGTTGAATATTAAAGAAATTTATCTCAACGCATTGTGTCTCAACATTACTATGTTTTATTTAAAGGTAGGATTTTCCACCAGGAGTCAGATCTGACGCATGCCAAATTAAATCTGCCTTCGCCCGGCTCTAATTTCCGTCTCTTCGTTGGCTGGGGTGACAGTTTGTTTTGTGTGTGAGGCTGCAGAGCAAAATATAAAACGGGTTAGATAACGATCGGGCTTCCCAGACAAGAGCACAAGCGCAGGAGTGTAATAAAAAAAAAGATTGCATCAACCCCTCAGTAATCCTGCATCCATCTATTAAGTTTACGGATGCCCTGCTTCTGAGAAATCGACCCTTTTTATCATTCGGGGGCTGCTTGGCTTAGGAAAGTTTGTCTGAGGTGACAGAGGAGCCGTTAAACTTCCTGTTTCACCCTGTTTACCCCCTTAGCTACCGCCAAAATATAAGTACACCAGATGGGTTAACCACTGTGAACTCATGAATAACCTTGAAGCTATCCATATGAAGAAGTCGTAACAAGGCAGATGGGCATCAAAAATAAATAAATATTTTGAAAAATAAAACAATTTTTCAGAAATAAGACAGAGAAGAAGATCCCAGACGCAGTGAAGCGTCAAGCCGAAGGCAGAATGATGACCTCAGGCTCAACTTTAACCCTAAGAGGAACTGTTACCACTGCAGCAGATGGACACCGGGCATCCAGCTGAGCCCACACACAGTTAGCAACTCTGCCATTTAAAGGTCTCCAGCATCAGCATCTATCATCATTCCGACTGTGGAGGTGGAAGCACCCGGACCACAGGAGGCGTTTAAAAATAGATGTTTCAGTTACAGGAGGATTGTACATCCAAGTCCTCGCACTGCAGTAGTCATAGAGACAAACAGGAGGCTCTTTTATATATAAACAGAAAAGAAAACCCAAAATAAAAGTGATAAATCCAATGAGACAAACAGAATTACCTTCCATAGGAGTGTTGGGGTCGGGTCTGTTGGCGAAAACCACATCAACGTAGTCTAGCTGCAGTCTTTCTAAAGAGGCTTTTAAACCTGAAAATAAACCCCACAGTAAGTCTCTGCTCCCACATCTACAATGTTCAAGTGCAAGAGCAATAACAGGGAGGATATTCTTAGCTTAACACAGTTATTGTTCCAAATGCAGCTTTGATTCCCTCAACCTGAAGCTGCCAATTAGGAAGTTATTCATCATTTTAAATCCAGTGACACGCTGCAACATTGCTTACCTTCTATAATGTGTTTTCGAGATAAACCTCTTTCAGTCTCGGCTCTGCAAAAACACAAGAACCAAAATTTGGATTATTAAAAGTTATTGTGCATTTCTGCCGCTTACTGCCTGCTGGTAAACCCAAAAAGCTACCGGTTCAGCTCCTGAGAAGTTTAGATCACCATAACGCCCAATGGCGTTATGGTGAACGTGTGCTTGTGTTACCTCACAGGGAGCAAAATGGAGAAAAATGTGAAGTATTCTGTGCACTACGAACTCAGAACGTTTCTGTCTGAAGGTGCATCTCAATAAATTATAATAATATTAAACAGTTGTCTCTCAAAAAGAGAGACAACAGCTGTGTATTCTGAAGTCTATTAAGTAATTTTTAGGTCAAAACAATTCTGCATTACAAATATTTTTTTAAAAATATTAGGCAACACATTCATCATTCAATATATCACTGGGTGTAATAAATATCTTTGAGTTTCCCTTTTTAAATTGACTTACTTAAATCAATATACTTTTCAGTGACATTCAACAAATCAATATTTTCCAGATATTATTGCAACTACAATGAATCAAGATTCAGCATTCTATTATTTTCTTTATGTTTTAAATAAAGCCAATTAGATCCTTCTTGTTTTTCTTGACGTTATCATACAGTGAAAATCTCCTGCTGTTGACAGATCATCATTTGATCCATTGTGAAATGTGAGAGACGTTTTCAGCTTTACTGAAAAGAACCTGACAACAGATGACACATGATCCCATTACCGGAGGGGGGCATCGGCACTGGGTGAGTCAGGAGAAATTACACAGGGAGATAGTTTTTCACTCGGCGTCCAGAAAAAAAAAAAAAAAAACTTACTTTCCGCCCCAGAAGATCTTCGTTGTTATCACCAGACTGGAGCGTCTAAAGATGGAGAATGACAGCACATCTGTTAGAACAGCTGCCACACGAACTTGCTGAGAACAGAAAGACGATAACTAACAGAGGAGGAATGTGTTTAACCCACACAAGACACAGGTCTTATATTGCAGCACACTCTATAATAGATGGCTTATATACATCCTTAGGAGAATAATGCGTTCATACTTTATTATTTACTGCATAGACGTGTGCGGGAGTAGACCTCGATCTCATACAACCTACAAATGCTAATCCCAGATCGACAAGATGTTAATCCATTATTCAGCCTTGTTGAGAACGAACACTCTAGTCACGGCCCGTGTTAATCTTGTGTTTTGTGGACTGAGACCTTGCTGTTCCGGATCACAACACACACATTACACAACTCCCTGTTAGAGAAAAGAGATGAAACAAGATATGCTGGCGGGCTGCGACGGAAATTTAAAAACACCAGAGTCGATTAAGGTGTGCCTTGTACCTCCATCCTTTCTTCTTTATGATGTTCCCGAGAACCACCTCAGCCCTGCGAAGCAGACGGAGACAAGCAGATTAGATAAAAGATAATGCTACGATGATGGGAGCGTTAAGGTGGGATTTCTGGATTAAAAGGAATCAGCAGGCAGGTCAGAGTCGGCGGGGCCAGAGCCACTGCCATGTGTCTCATTAACAGATGAAGGGGTGCTAATGAGCGACATTATGATCAGCATGGGGCTCATTAGGGCCGGGCAGAGAGCTGCCGCTGGGATGTCTCTGCGGTCCTCTCACTCTGACAAACAGCGAGATGCCACCTGGCTGCTCTGTTTTATACAGAAAGACTTTTGGACACTGAGGTGAACAGAGACAACTGAGGTTGGAAGCTGTGACCAGTATCTGCACAGTGCCACTCCTGGCGGTGAGTTTGTGTCAAACACCCAGAGCAGAGAGACGTTCTGACAGGAGGTCAGGGCAAAAGTTTAGACGAGTTTCAACAAAAATTTAGATCAGCACCGGGTTCAATCAGTTTTGCTGCATGACGGTGGATACATGCAGCTTTGTCAAGTTTTTCAAAAAAGTTTTGTAAAAATGGCCCAGAATACTATGATCCCTGCTTCTCTAGTTATAGCACAGAAGGTAAAGAGCAAAATAAGAGTTAAAAGTGATCAGCGCCCTGCAGAACAGTGACTGCATCAGAATAAAAACCTCCCCAGAGCTGGATGATATCTGCTTCTTACTGGAGCGGCTGTGGCTCCAATAAAATGCTAAGTCGTCTCTGCCCATTTTTTCTTTTTTACATTACTGATAATGTTTACAGTAGAAATATCAACAGGATTGTAAAATACAGTACAAATCCTTCATAAGAGAAAAAACATTAACTGAACAAAATTTATATGAAATAAGAAAGTTAATTTTATGAGCTCTGGTAGACATAAACACAATTCATATTTAGGCTTCAAGTAAATATTAAAATGGTAAAGTTTACAATGCAAACATCAGTTTTACAACATTTTACATCAATTTAACCAATAAAAAAAACAGTATCTAATCATCTCCAGGCGTTTGTTACTCTGTTGGTATTCTGTGTTTAGGGGTCTAATTATCCAGCCCAGGGTTTATTGTTCTGCTTCTACAAGCCAGCTGATTTCATTGATACTACTTGAAGGATTTTACCCATGTGGAGATATTTATGCTTTACACTTCCCAGATACATTTAAATGAACATTTAAATCATAACAATAGCATGGCGGGATAAAAACGAAACATTCTAAATAGATGTGGCTTTCTTAGTCAGTCAACATAGCAATAAACTAATAAAATTGAACTCCGCTTCTCTTTTGTTTGTCTGAGTGGTTTCTTTCTATTGTTACCCTGCTATGCACAATAGCAGGGTATTGCTATTATTCAAACAATTACTTGTTTGTTGGTTACTTATTTAAGATCAGTTCTATAAAAGATTTAAAACATTCTTTTGCCTGCTCCAGTGGTTATGCTGGATTCTCCCGGCACATCCAAGCATCATCAACCCGACCTCTGCTTTAGCTGTGCTGCTGCTTCACATCCAGCCAGCTGGACTCACATATTTTCAGGAAAAAAAAAATCCAGAAACTCTGCCTGTGTGAGCTTACAGTAACAGTGTGCGTCTCCCACGCGTAGCTGGCGGGTTGCCCTAGTGTAAATTGAGTGATTTGAGCGCCCAGACATAAGGTGCAGTTTGCCTTGAGCATGCTGGCTTTCTGCAACCAGCCATTAATTAGTTTTCCATGCCGCAGAACCGACGCTGTGACTGATAGAGGGAGCTGTGATATAATGCTGCGTGTTTCATGGATGAATAACACTATATTGCTTTGAGATTTCCCCATAATTGTGCAGCCGATTCGTCACCCGTTTTGCACGTCAGCCATTTTCAGTGCATTCAGCAGGAAAGAAGCCATAAAAGATTGTGCTGCTCTGAACATTTCTTTCAGTCTTTTAAATACTCAGACTGTGTGTGTGTTTACTGATAACTGCAGCAACAATGTTTAGCTGTGCCTGCGTATCTTTTTTATTTCTTCTGAAATAGAGTGACCTTTGCATTGGTACTGAAAAGCTGGTCTGTTATGGCAATAAACAAATAAATACAAGAACTCATCCATCCAATCATATACAAATACCTTACAAATTGTGGTTTTAAAGTGATAAAATGTAAAACAATATATATCGGCACTGCAGATATCCATGTGAAGTGATTTTTGTTTTCTAAAGCTACAATGAGCAGCGTGATGTCAAGCTAGTCTCCACATGCTACAGTACAGTATCAACGTTAATGCAGCTGACTCTGCAGCCGACTCATCCTCCGGCTTCACATGAAAGCCTTTTCCACACTCATGTGCAAAGTGTGTTCAACTCTTTCGCGTGCGTGTGTGTCATGTAAGCTCCTCAGTGCTGTCAGGATTAACACCTGTGCAACAAATACTGAGCTGCTGTCACACAAACGCTCTCACATGCCGGATTTGTCTCTGTGTTTAACTGCAGGTTGTTTCACAGATCAAAGACAGAGGAGGGACTGCGGCAGTGTCAAAGATCAACTTTGTGCTCGTTTTCCTGGTTCTGACAGAAAACAACACAGAGAGGTGACGTGCATCAGACACGAGCCGCAAAGGACTTGGGGGGAAAAAAAGAATTGATGTTTCAGTGGTTGTCTTTATTTCTAATTCTGAATGTTCTGCTGATGCATTTTTCAAGAACGGAGCAGATAGAAACAAATATTCTCAGGGGATTAAAATCGGACATGCTGCAGTTAATCAGATATGCTGTTTGCCAAGGATAATCCCTTAGATTATTTCAAAGCCTCCAAGTAACTACAAAGCCAGATTAATCCATAATGGAATTCAAAACATATCAGACCTGAGGCAGTGAGAGGCAAAAGGGGTTAAAACATCATCACCGCTTGTCTTCTAAACTAATAATTATTTCATTTCATACAAAAAATAAAGACCCATTAAAGGGTTCTGGAGGCTAAACAACTGTATTTAACAAAAACATTTTAAAGTTAGTGGTGCTAACTGCTAACTCAATATTCCAGGAGAGGGTGAACTAAATAATTAAGATGCAGTAAAACATCAAAAAACAAACATAATGTGACAGAAATAGAGCAGTTATGTTTTATTAAATATCTTTGGAGTCTTTTTGCTTGTTAGAATTTTTAATCTCTCCACTGATGGTAAAGCTTTCAACCATGTGATTTACATGAGCTGCTCTTTTGGGAATTTCTGCCACCTGTGTGAAAAAACAAAACAAAAACTGAAGGTAACAGAAGAGAGATGAGTTGAGTTGAGCCAGTTTGCTTTTGCCTCAAGCCATGCAGGGGACAGCAAACATGTGGAAGGAAGAGCAGGAGGAATGAGTAGAAATATACCAAACGCCGCCTTGCTGCTGTGACTGCAGCAAATATTGATCAGGACTGAATACAGTTGTACACACAGATCTGTATTTAATTATTTTGAATTTTTCCACTTCACAATTACACACTGCTTTTTAGCACAGAAAATTCTGGAAGGATAGATTGAAGTTTGTGATTCAACTAAATATTCAAGTATGAATAAGTAGTTTTTACATAAAATTCAATGCAATTCTACAGTAAAACCCAAGCTTTTTCAAGCCTTAAATTATCTATTTCCAGCTTTGAAAATAATCCAGCATAGAGACCTTGATTTAAGCAATTTAGCTAGAATTTTTAATCCAAAATTAGGTGAAAGAATTTATATATGCACAAGGTAATATCATGATTTTATTTCTGGATAAGTGCAAATATGGATAATTTATGAATAATGTAAGTGCAGCCAGTGGTTCTTATCGTCTGAGGTGCCACTTCTGGTCTGTGGTTTGTCCCTGTTTTTCCCTTTTGGTAGTGAAAATAAAACTTTACATTTCAATAAAGAGGTCACATTATTCTTTTAAGAAAGACCAAGAACTCCAAAAAAGACTGAGATTTAGTAAAATTGCTGCAGACAAAAATGTATTAAGGTTTGAAGGTCAGATAACAAGAGGCTAATGGAGCTATGTCTAATGTCTGTTCTGTTCTTGCAAAGTGGAGTTCCAATTTTCTTTCTTGATTGCCATAAAAGAACATTTTGTCCTTCAAAAGACTTTTCTTAAATAAAAAGTATTTTTCAAAACCCGACTGATGTGAAAGCAGAGCATTTTTTTAAATCCTGAAAAGTTTAAAAACTACTTACAGTTTGCAAAGTTGCACCTGTTCTCATTTTTCTTTCCTGATTTGTTTTTATAATAAAATATTGTGCACTTTTGTTTAACTAAAAAGCCTGGCAGGAACATCTAATCATAACTGATTACTTGAGCAGCAAGCCCAGGTGTATTTTAGGTGTGAATCAGTCACTTTGACCTGTAATCAGAGCACGGTTTTAGCAGGAGGTGTGAACAGAATATGTATGAACTGCAGAGAGGGAGACAGATTGTGTTTATGCAATGATAAAGAATGTTTCTTATTACTGCTGTTCAAATTAAGTGCATTTTTTCTTCATGGCTGCACCTGACATGAACAGCGAGCCAGTAAAGTATCTGTACTTTGAGGATCCACAATCTATCAGCAACTAGAAGCTTGGCAATGTTTGCTGTCACAGCGATACAGGATATACTCACTTCCCAGCAGCGTAGACCTCCGCTGTGTCAAACAGATTGATGCCATTTTCATAGGCCAGAGTCATCAGCTGCTCTGCCATCTGTTGATAAAACAAGGGGTAAAAAACAGACAGGGGGGCACAAAGAGCTGATGTGAAGCATTACAGCTTCTTAATTATTCATCTGCCTACCCAAGACTAAAGATGGCTAGTGTCATATAATAAGGTGAATTATTTGGCTGTCGGCAGCAGATTTACAGAAAGAAGGAGGTAAAACTGGGCTTGCTGAGCATTCTGGGAAATGAAACTTCACTGTGAATGTTTTTAATCTCAACTTTGACGGATCCATCTGCTCTCACCTCATCTGTTATCTGTCCACCGAATGTCACCCATGTTCCTGCAGAGGGTGACAAGGAGGCAGGGCCTCGTCATGAACACACACTTATAAATAGGTAAGAAGTGACACCATATATTCTAAACATATGAACATATTCTGCAAGAAACAAGTTCAACACCCAGTTTAACTTTTTGAAGTAGCAATGAAACCGATAATACTTTTTAAAGTAGTTCCAGTAATTCAGATTTTATTATGTACATTCATCATGCACAGATAGATATATTGAAAACATTCATTTGTTTAGTATTTTTAATACAAAAATGTTTTTATTATAACCAAGTAAAGGTCACTAGCTCCTTCCATATGAAAGGTAAAGCCATAAAAGTTCAAATCTGCTGGTTCATACAGTGAGGTAGCCAAGGATATTACAGGAAAATTCAATGGAAGAAAAATCTCTGCTCAAAAAGTGCATTACCATCAGGGAAAAAATGCAACCTTGAATTAATTGCGAAGAAATTAGTAGAATATGTTGCAGCTGGAGTCGGTGCTTCCTGCTATGTATACTGTTTCAATGTTCATTAATAATTAATACTCATGGAAACTGTCACGATTCTTGTGTTGAGCCATTCGTGAACAACACAAAATGTCAAAGGAATTATATTTCTTCTGTTAGCAACCTGGGCTCCATTAATACCTCTGTAATGCCACAGGCTTTGTGCCTCAATGTTGCAATGTATCAATGCAGTAATTCAGAGAACAGAGAATAAGTGTGTTTTGCATTTAGCTGCTAATATTTCTCTTGAAAGCTTTTTTTTAAAATTGGTTTTATGTAATATGTACATTTTCAGAGAAGCCGACCTTTGCATCTTTTTTTTTAGCTGTAGGAGACAAACACACCAAATATAGATGGTTTTTATGTAAGTCTGTGCATAATGATTCAACATAATATGTGCATTCCAATTCTTGAATTGAATTACTGATACTTTCTCTACTGATACATTATATGCTGAAATAGCACATAATGTAAAATTTCAACCTAAAAATGTTCCAAGTTTGACCAAATTGATCACTTTCTGAAGTAGCAGTGGTGCCTTCTTTTATAAAGGTAATGTAAAAATAAAGCAGATACATTACACATACTTTCATCACGTGTGCTGCTTTTCAGATTGTGTCATGATCTCACCTAATCCAAGGCAGGACACCCGCAGGCCAGACTTTCCAAGGTTTCTGTCAAAACAGAGAAATAAATTCATATTAATGTTGAGCTGAGGTGACAGTGATTTGTGAAGGTTTTGTGCTCCAAAGGCAGCTTCAAGGAGCACTGTAAAAATGTTTTCTTCTTGTTTATTTATCCACAGTGACTGGGTAGTACATACTGTAGGTAAGGAAGTACGGCAAGAAGATACATTTTCCTATATGCTTCTGCAGTCATTGGTTTTTATTGCAGTTGGGGCTTGCAGTCGCCGAAGTTGAAAAAACAAAAAACAGATCGCTGTATGGATTTAAAATGAGCGGGCATCTTCTGCAGCACTGACAAAACAGATGAGGAAAAAGGCAATGTGCGAATCAACACTGACGATATGTGTGTATGTGTGTGCTCTTAAACAGGCCCACCAAAACATCCAGAGAAATTTCTCTCAGCCTCCCTGTGACTAAAATCCCCTTCGGCAATGAGCAACTTCGACTGCTCCAAACAACTTGCTTCTGAAAGCCGCTGTATCTGAGCCAACCAAAGCCCGGACCAGCCCTTCTGGTGACATTCAGAGCTTGGATTCTTGCAAGCCTTTAAAGATTCCTCTGATGTCTTTTGCTCCATGTTAACATGCAGGATGTTGGAGTTATGACAGAGCAGAAGCAAACTCTCTTTTAACCTGATTTAGAAAGGACTCAAACTCCATATCCACATCTGATATAAAAAAAGATCCCAAAGGTGCTGAGAATAAAATATGAAGTTTGTTACTCTTGCTTAACAGTGAATAAGTGAATAAATAAATAAATAAAAATATGCCATGAGGGATGATGTAACATGTGCAGAAGTGAAAGTTTGTATGTGGGATGATAACTAAAATAATCTGTCTCAGGCTGACTGTATATCGAGGGAGACAGAAGCGTGAGCATGTGAATCAGTGCAGATGTTTGAGTTTTAGCTTGCTGAATCGTCACTCTGGTTTTAAAATCTCAACAGCCTCATAACAAGAGGCTTGAATTCAGGCTGCAAATAAACCAAAACTAGGAGAGAAAATGTTAGTTTTTTTTACTGTCACTTTCCAAAGTAACCATTGAAGTGATGACTGGACAAGTATAGAAAAAATTAAAAGGAGAGGGGTGAAAGTTTTAAGATCTTTTATCTGTGGCAAATCTCCATCAGTAGTTTGGTAAGCACCTGCCCTCTCATACTTTAAAAGTTTCTTTGAACAATAAACCAGAGCTGCTACATTCGTGGTCTGGTAACAATTTGCTAAACAGAAACGTCCCCAACACGTGCATGTCATGGTGCCCTTGTTTTGTATGACATGACGACACTTTCTGCATTACACTGGCTTCCTGTCTCCAACATGGTCGGTCAATAACTGGTTAAACCAGGTCCAGAGTCAAAACATTTTCTGAATATAAAAGTGTTGAAGCTACAAAGTGCTTATTGTAGTGAAAAGCAGCTATTTCTTCACTCAGAGCACAAGAAATACATGCCCGTGAATAAATGTATGTATCGGTTACAGTATTTTAAGATTGTAAATATTAGCATTTAAATGTTGATTGGGAAACATCAATAAGCAGCTTTATGCAACCGTTTCTACATTGAATTTTTAAATGAAATTCAGATGAAAGTTTGCACAAGTCAGATTTGTTTTGCTGTTCCCTTATTTCCAGTTGAATTCAAAACTACTACTCCAATGAAAAACCATGGAGCCATTCACATAAACACATTTGCCTGAAAAGAAATGCAGATCAATTGAAATTAGGAGGTCAGCAACCAGAATAAACCAGAATTGGTTTATCTCTCAGAACTAATCAGTGGTTCATAGGCAGGGTGACTGGATAAAGTGCACAAAGTTTTCTAAAAAAAAAAAGAACTAATGTTCCAAAGAGGCATTTATGGACTTCCTAGACAATCTGAAAAAGATACCAGACTATACAGTTCTGCCGTTGCCATTACTCCCATGCAAGGATGCCATTTCATAGGCGCATTGTTCTCTTGGATATTTGATTAGAACGGCCTTGGTTACGGCTTTGTTCTGCTGCAGAGGCGCTTTGCTACGGTGGGGTCAGGTTCCAGGTGAGGCTCAGCAGTAGTAGTCCCTCTGACATCCTTCTCAATAAGAAGGGAGTAACGGTTGCACTCTCCTACAAAAGTTAAGTGCTTCCAAATTGTTTCATCTTACATCACATTTTTAACGTTTTTGTTTTATTTTGTGGTGTTTTTTTTTTGCAGTTTTCATGAAGGCAATATTGGCTTGTAAATGGTTACTTAATAATTTTGTAAATATAAGGTTGCTAATTTGAAAAAGAATTGTACAAAACAGGAAACTTACTAAGAGGTGTTTGAAATGAGCAGATCTGAAATTAAAACTTAACACCTCAAGAAATATGACACTGAAATTATCAATAGAGAGGGACCAGACTGGAGGTGGAGCTTTTCAGCAAAATTGCGCATAAGGTCTTAGCATCTGTAATCATTTTCAGACAGTTTGGGGTTTAACCTGCCGAAAAAGTTTTCAATCATTCATTTTCTCTGCTCATCCACACTGCACCCAATCTATTTAGTCTACTCAGGTTTGACTGCCGCACACAGTGTACACACATAGATGAACAGCTGGATCACAGCCAATAAGAGGATAGAGACCTCTTATTGGTTTGCACAACGATATGGAGCTAATTTGCATCTGTTGGTGAACCACAGCAAAGATGGACACACTCAATGATAAAAAACTAATTCACAACTATGCATAAACCCTATTAGTGATAACTTGAACAATCAGTTATCTGCCAAATCTAAATGTAGTACCTCCAACAGATGAGTTAATCTGGCCTGTTGTTCTACAGAAAAAACAAATCAGCTCAAAAATAGCAGATAATTTAATTAATAATACCAACCTGAAAGTTGGTAGTATTAATGAAATAATGAAATAAAAACAAAAACGTAGCATATTTTTTCTTGGAGTATTCTTCAAATATTCTACACAGAGGAGAAGCATTACAAATCTTGGATTATATTCAGACACCTTAACTGCACAGATGAGACGTGTGATGGCTCAAGTGGTCAAAGACAGTCGAAGTGTTTCGTCGAAAGGAAAATGTGAAGAGGCCATTTTTATTAGATCTTGGATCTATTTCACTGCTGGGATAAGAGATTAATTGGTCTGTGACTTTATAAGCACAATATTCCTGAGTGAATCATTGAATACTTTTCAGCTTTCATTACTTTAGTGATAATCTCAGCCCACTACTGCACTTCAGCGCAATCATTTGTATGGAGTGATGACTGCATATTTATATCAAGCATTGATCTGCAGCTTTACAAATGAAAGTCAGCCCTAGTGAGAGCTAAAGGCCAGAAGTCGCTGGAGTCTTACAGAGGCTGTGTGGATGTCAGGATGAAAAACGAGCAAACGTTAACGAAGCTGGAAAACGTGGAGGGATATTTTCACCAATAACCAACTGAAGTATGAATAAAACCTCATCTGTGGTCCTAACCTGCACAGGTAACCCTCTTTTTAAACGAGCTTTCTTCAATTCAAAATAATGCAACAGAGAGAAGAAAAGACAACCAAAACATTTTGGTGATATCAGAAAATTGTCTTCTCACAAGGATAATTACAATTGGACACAATAGCTGTGAACACATCAAAATGTTAAAATGTCATTGTTGTTTGCTTCTGTTTTTAAATGAAAAGCAATCTTCAGTTTTCCACCTTGAGGTTTTAATTGTATCTCTCTGCTGGGTGACCTTCTTTTGTAGCTGTGGACAAAAAGACTTTGTTCTCCGTCAGATCAAAGCCCAATATGGATTTGTAAGTGTCAGATTTGACTGGAGGAGAATGAATAAGATTCTTTCCAGAGTTGAATTGAGAAGACGAATTTTACATTTTTTGGAAATATGCTAATCCTCCTTTGAATGGAGACTTAGATTGATACTTCCCTGTGTCGTGCGCCATAGAGGAAGCTGTTGGAGAAAGAGAAAAAAAGATTTGCAACCCATTAAATAACTAACTGTAAGACATTTGACTTTATGCTTCGAAAGAGAATAAAATACAAGTTTTATTCTTTAGTATGAAACTTGGACAGTTTCTTGTTTTTAAACGGGTGTTGGAAAGTATTTACTGCATGAGTAGTCAGTGTGTTATCAGCAGCCGGCAGTGGTCAGAGCGCTGTCAGTTCGGAAAATGAGGAAGAAATTCGAGTTGGGGAAGAACAACCGGGAACGGTTGTGCTTGCCTATGTATCACACAACCTCCATAGTTACAGAAAGGTTAGACCAATTCAGAGCTTTTAGCACATTGTCAGAAAAGGGCTCAGTTTGTCACCACTTTGTTCTCTGAAGAATGTGTTGCTACGTGTCACTGATTGCACGCTGGGTTTGCTGTGAGTCTCGCCACTGATCAGTTGTAGTAGAAATTTCACATGATCTATTCCCCAAATAATAAAAGTTAGAAAAAGACTTCAGGAAAAAAAAAATCAGCCCACTGATTGATCGTTCTGTGTAGTTTTTTTTTTTTGTAATCTGGTTATTTTGCAAAGTGTCTGTAGATTACATTTGTTATCAGTTGGTGCTATTGAAATAAAGCTGATTTGATGGATGTCAAATGTGATTTAATTTGGTGGAAATAAGCAGCATCATATAATGCCACAAAGAGACTGGCATTAAAGCATTTTATTACAGTTGTCAGTGACAAATTGAATTATGTTTTTTTTTTTTTTGCTCATTAGCAGATTGAAGATTTAGACATTTTCAAAGTGACTTCAGTTTTTTTTCACTGTATATTGCAACAAAACAGAAATCACCAAGTGTGACATATTTGCTGTTTTGATAAACAATACTATTTGCCAGTTGTTTTCAAAAATACAGAATTATTTGTGATGATAAATCTGCATTTGTTGCCATAAATATAAATAAACAGTCTTCACAGATTGCAGCTCTGCTCCAGGTCCTGAATCTAGTCCCTTTTTGTTTTGTCTGTTATTTATGAACACATTTTTTGCGTTTGAGTTCTAATTGATTGCATTCAAAG